AAAAAAAAAAAAAAACTTCTCTAGAGACCCTGAGACAGACCCGACAAACCTTCAAACCCCGCAATCCCGAATCCCTCCACCCAAACACCTAATGCCGACTTTTTGGAATCCCATAAACTAAGCCTCTCAACCCTGCATACACCCTGAACCCCACACCCGAAGTCCCACCCCCTCGCCCTCGCTCCAGCCTCGTCTCGCCGGGAGCCCCGGCGTCGCACCCAGAGCTCTTCCAGTACAGAGCTTCCCCCTCAACTGGGCTTAGAGATAATGGAAGGGAATGGAAAAGAAATGGAAACTGCAAATTAGGGTTTAGAGTTTAGGACTCAGCAAAGTTCAGGCGTACAGGTCCGTAGTCAATACAGTGACCGCTCACCCATCAATGCTTGCAGGAGCAAGCAAGAATGCGACTGAGAGAGAAAGAGATAAGGGATGTGGATGTATACATACTGTGCCCAAATAGGGGCGGTCTTGCAATGGGAGCCCAAATGCATTGCACGGACCTGTACTAGCCTCAACAAAAGCCGCGGTAGCTGCTGTAGCGGTGCTGTCTTCCTCCACTCAGGCAGGCTCTGTTTATCTTCACAGACGGCTTTCGCTTGTTGCAATGTCTTCAGAGAGATGGCAACTGGTGGGAATTGTTTATCAGATTGAGGATCTGGGGAACCCTGAACCCATGCTCGTGGCCTCAAACCAAATCATTGACCCCGACCATATCTGAAATTTTCCAGACTCTACGAACCTGCTCAGGGCAAAGAAACTCTAGACCCTCGGCTCGCAAGCCGTACACTCTTCATATGACCCTGGGCTGCAAGTTAAATTCCATGCCACAAACCCTGTAGTTCCATCCCACGTCAAACCCATCCACCCTATCGAATCTGCCGACAAGTAAGGCATGGTTGCGCATCAGCTCCTCCCATAAGATGCGGCCACAACTGTCTTCCCTTACTCTCAAAGACCTTCCCTAATTCAATTCCAATCTCATGTTGGGAATCTTGCGTACTTGGGAGAGAAGATTTGGCTTATAATGTCCCCTGGTAAAACTGAGTAACGGTGAGCAACAAAAAACCCCCGACGCCCTAAAACAAAGCCCCTAGACTCCAAACCCCAGTCACCACCTCCAAGACCTTAGGCTCCAGAAGCCCTTGCACCTAGAATCCTAAAATGAAACCTCTACACCCCGAACACCGCATCCCAAAGCCAGACAAACCCACACATGCAATCCGTACACAAATGCCTATGACTTGAGACCCCTTTTCAAACCCACATTTTCCTTACATAACCGCTAGACGACAAAGAAAGGGCCCCGTTGGAACCATACCAAGCGGCCTGTTGGATCAGTCTCAATCCAAGCCTCAAGTCTGAATTTAAAGCTTTGGGATTTTTAGGCTGCGTACTTGTGGATTTGTGTAGGACTTGATTTTCAGGGCTTTGGTCTTATGATTTCAGGGGTTTGAGTTTAGGGCTCTGGGTACGGGGGTTGCAGACATATGTGTGATGTAGGCTATCTGAGTGGGGCCCAAGGCTAGGATTTTCGGACTCCAGGCCTCAGGCTCCTCTTTCCAGGTCACGCGGCCACGATCCTCCGTTTCTGTCGGTACCTCCCCCACTCTTTTGAGGCTGCAGTCTTGATACTAAGCCCCAGCATGGCCCTAAGTACCCTAAAGTCTGGGGACTGTGGCATCTTAGTACGTTGGAGTCGGGCTTTTAGCATTAAAAAATGGTCTAGCGTTAAGGGTCTAGGAGTTCGAAGTTTCAAAGGGCGAAGCTCAGCCAGATGTCGCCAAGCTGCTCACAGTCGAGAACGCAAACTTCATGCCCTCCCCAGAAATGGAACCCGCAAAGGGCGCTTTTGTGGTCAGTTACAAAGGGTCTGTACCAGTTTCCACGTGGGTTTAGAACGGCAGTTGCATGGGGGCTCTCACATAGATCTGTTCAAGGGTACACCAAAGGCCCCAGATGATGGGCATCCGCCATGTGCAGGCGAGGGATTAAGAATAGTATCCAACTTTTGCTCAAGTTAATCCCAACCCCCTTGTCCCCAAGCCCAAACATCCTCGTCTCTCTACACTGAGCCAACACCCCGCCACAAAAAATCTGCCCAATTTTTCCCCTGCCAATCAATATGAATCCCAGCTGACTCAAGCACAACCCCAATGACCTACATCGTGAATCTTGAACCTGGAACATTGAAGCCTACATCCTCGACCCTGGAACACCCGTCTTAAACCCTGAATCATAAAAGTCTAATCTCAAGAAGTGAAACCAACAACCCCCCTAACGCCCAAGCCTAGAACCTCGACCGAAGGCTGTTGCATACTCCCAAAAAAAAACAACCCACTGCAAGACCCCCCATGTGACCCCGCATATATCTCATCAGAAACCCTTAACCTCGAACCACAAAACCCTACATTCAAAAACCCGACATCCTGTACCCTCTGAACCCCAAAACCCTTATGAAAGACTTGATGTTGCTCTTTTCAAAACCTTAAACCATTAAGTCCCTAGCAAAACCTGACAAGCCCCATTCTCTGCCTCGGCAGCGTGCCCTGCGCAGGATGCCAGCAGCGCCCCAATGTCGTCGGAAGACGCCGTGCCAAAGGCTGCGGCAGTATGCCAGCTGAGGATGCGTTCCTGCTTTAGGACGTAGGACGTAGGGTTTGCGCTTTGAGGTCCTAGGTTGAGCAAGGGGCTTGGGGTTTACACGTGCAGGGTTCGGTGGCTGGGGGTAGGGCTTCATTGCAAAGTTGCTGGTTTAGGGCTTGGGGACTAGTCCTCAGGAATGGCCATCGAAATCATCATTCTCACCAAATATTCTGAAGGGATGGGCAGGGTGTGTCTTGTGTGACCTACTGCAGGTGGAGGTACTCACTAAATTCCATGAGCCTCTGCTTTACCTGAAGGTTCAAGGACTTGGAGCTAAAGCGGGCGAAATGACAAAGAGCCCCAGGTGCAAGGCAAGAGAACTTTCTCGATCACATGCCATACTGTTATGCTCAAGAGTCTAGCTTACATGTCACATAGTTTCTTCCCACAAAAACGGCGTTTAACGCCACGTGTATCCACCCATGGTAAGTCTCAATCCTGTATGACAAGCGCCCTTTGGACTCAAAGCCAGCCTCCTCGTCCCAAACAGCAACCTGCATCATGGCTAAGGCAGCATGGAATAACGGCTTTTCTTAGAGGAATTACATCATGCAACAATTGCCAGCAATGACCCAGCAACGCCAAGAAAGCAGTCATGGCCCCCAGCGCCGCTGTCGTCGATGCGGGCATCTACACAAACGCCGTCAGGAGCCTCCACTGTCGAGGGCTGCAACTGCAAGGCGCATGGAGGACATGCAGTTCAGGGTTTGGGGCAAAGTTGAGACCTCAGAGGGTTCTCTTGCAATACAGCTTCCATATCGTGAGTCTACGTATATAAGTTCGAGAAGAAAAACTTTAAGGCTCAGGGCTTCACGAGAACATACCATAGATGCAGGAGCTCTTGCACAAACAGAAACACAACCAATAGCACAAAACAGTGTGCCAGAAAGTCCATGAAACCAAAACCCTAAACTGTATACCTTCAAACTCCATCCCCTAACCCCTACATCTTCATTCCTGAGCACTAAACCCCAAACGCTGGTCCAAACCCAAAACCAAAAGCTGATCCGTAAACCCTATATACCCCGAACCCAAAGCGCCAAACCCTAAACCTCACGCACTCATCCCTGAACTCTCATCCTAGACCTGCAACTTGCGAGGACCTGAAGGTACCAAACGCGGCCGGTGGTGTCCGTCTCGCGAGGCTCGCGAAACCTTAGCAATCTACTAATGCTTTGGGCTTTGGAGTAGCGCGTAGTTGTGGGTTTAAAGTTAAAACGGGTGTAGGATTTTGGGTGGATATCTGATGTGCAGGGTTTGGGGGTAATATGGTCCTCTTTACAAACCTTACTGATGCTTGAGCCGGGTGAAGGAATGAATCCCCATATTGCTCACAGTTTTTCTCAAGAAATGTACCCCTAGCAAGGATAGAATCCTGACCTTAAGCATTAAACCAAAAGTCTAAACCCAAAAAAAACCTACGTAACCTTTAGCACCAACAGAAATTCCTTCTTGCCTGATGGTGCTTAGGCTTGGCTAGTGTTTGGAGATTCAAGCTAAAGACCCAACGAAAATCCCAAAAACTATGAGTCTCATATTTGGGAGCCTTGCAGGGCTTCGAATGTGTGGCGTTGGGATCAGCCCTCATACGGCCTTGGGAGCTGAGCGTAAACACGCGTAAACTAACCCTGAACCTTAAACCTTGAACCCTAAACCCAAAAGCCCTGAACCCTAGAGCCTAGGCTGTATGGTTTGACGCTTTAGGCCTCTGATTGCACCACATATGGGAGAAGGTACATCATCAGGCACTGGCCGGATGTATTCCATGACGTTATATGTAAACGTGAAGGGGGAGTAATACAACCACTATTCTGGTTCACACATCCCTGGGCCCCAGTCCGTTTCCCAACTCCCTGCTAAGCACCTCCCCAAGGGACGTCTGCCGAATGTACTCCCGCTGCCAACAGCCGCAGAGCGTTTCTGGCGGCTTGAACCGCTCAGGAAGCGAAACAACGGCGTCCATGGCCGCTGAGGCGTTTGAGGTACGCGTGGATGCTCACATTTACTGGATTCAGTTTACGGTGTGAGGACGAGGGTTTGGGGATCGTGTCTTCGAGGGGGTTCTTAAAATGGGAGATGTTCCTGGAAGCATCAAGGATATGTCTGTTCTGATGCCGAGAAACTCCCATGAAGGGCCTACACAGGTGGTCTCTGGGGACTGTAGGGAAATGTCGCATATGGTATACCTGGGCAATAGAAATCATGACAATACTAATGACAGTAACGCCCATGTCAGGTATCTCATGAAGCACTAGAGCAGGCAACCTGTTGGGTTGGTGAGACCTGGGTGTTTCCTACCTCATCCTGAAATTGTCTGCCATATGCACAGTTTAGCGCCAAGACGCATGGAAAAACTCCAATTTCTTCCTTGGCCTAGACTCCCACACATCTGCACCAGCCTAAACCCAAATGAACCTGTAAGAAGCCCTGCCTGCGGGGCACATCCCCTGAAATCTAAATTGTAGGTCCCATATCTAGGCTCGCCGTTTTGCTGACCACTACTAGCTCAGTTGATACCAAGGTCCTGTATGCCTCCCTTGAAAGCAATAATGTTCTAGTATACTAAGGTAATGCAAGGTTTGTAACATGAACCTGGCTGCACAGCAGTCTTGATTGCATGTGATCCAAGGAAGCCTCCAAAAGGCATTCCAGCAGCTTAAATTGTTTCTATGAGATTCTTGTATAATGTTTAGAGGTAAAATCCTACACCCCACAAACCTTCAACCTGTAAACCAGCAAGCCCTAACTTTTCTGAATCTCCAAACCAAATTACCTCGCATAAACATCATAACCCTCAGTTGGAAACCGCCTCATCCCTACATGCCCCTCTCAGAACTGACAAGGCCTACAATTCCACACCTTTTACTCCCATCCTCCCCATCCCTAAATGCTGAACGCTGAATGCCAACAACTCCCAAAATCCTTAACACCTGAAGTGCTCAAAACCGAGACCGACGCGAGAAGCGTTTTGGGTTCTGAGTTCACACTGTCAACTTATGTTGCCTCCCAACCCACTAAGAGTGACACAAAAGTAATGTATACGGACCTTGATTTAACTACCATGATCCATGTTGGTAACTTATAGCTGTCGGGGCGATCACCCGAATCAAAGCCCCCCTAAACCCCCAACTTCTGCCAAAGTGCATGCTAGTGGAGCTTTGGTCCTTCTCGGCGGCGAAACCTCGAGGGAGTGCTGGCACGGTCCTCAATCGAAGACGTTGGGGGAGAAGAGGCTTAGCACGTATGTGCGGCTACAAGATTTGAGGATCAGGGGCAAGGGTTCAGGGCCCGGGCTTTCGCGTTTTAGGAACTTGGGAGCTTCGGTTGTCCGGGTTGAATGGTTCAGGTCTTTAGCCTTAGAGTTTGGCGTTCAGAGTTTAAGTTGGGCACCGCGGCATCGACTTTAGGATCAAGCGAGCACGTGGTCCCTCAACCCGACACCTCTAACGCCTCAATCCCAAACCCGGAAGTCGACACCCAACAACCCCATCCCAACCAGAGACGAATTGGGGTTTGAGATCTGTTAGGGTGAAGGGCTTTAGGAGCCCAAAGCCCAACAACCCTGCGACAGCCAAATTCCAAACCCTCGCAAGGCCTGAAGGCGGTGCTGCAGCCTGAAGTCGAGGTTCTTCAGGAGGCGGCCCAGGGGCTGCCCTGCTTGGGTTTTGTAGGGTTAAGGGTTGAGGTCCTTCTGCAAGGTTCAAGGTTTATTGGGTTTGGGGTTTGTCCTTCAGGGTTTGGGAATTTTGGATCGGGGGTTCGTGTCGGGTTGAAAGCGCGGTTAGGGCTTCGAAGTCGACTTATCTCCTGGGCCCCAAGCGAAAGGCCCAGGCTTTTGAGAAACTCACAATTGCGGCTTCCATCCTGTGAAGTCCAGAACTGAAATCGTCATGATTATGACGATGACAACGATGGTCATGACGAGCACGATGGTGATCCGCATCATCATCATCATCATCA